TTTTGCAAATGACTGACCACCGCAATACGCAGCTTCACTTCTTCACTGTTTCCATGGCCAATGATTAGAGATCCAAGTAGAATGAAATCATTGACAACTTCAATTTTTTTCTCCATTGTTCATCACAGTGTTTATCGGTTCATTTGTGAGGATTTTGTTTTCTTAATATTCAGGTGAAATCCATACTGAATGTTTCTAAACTTCATCAGTAAATACTTTAAGTCATCTTCATTTTAGACAAGCAAGATTGTATCTTGCTATAAAATATACAATCTCCATATTTTAGCTAGATAGTTGATGAATCTTCCTCTAATCCTAATGTTGAAGCCTTCTTCATATGCTGCTTTGTGCCATGGAGTCAGTTCCAACTCATAGCGACCCCGTACAGGGTTTCCAAGGCTGTAAATCTTTGCAGGAGTAGAAACGCCTCATCTTTCTCCCTCGGAACAGCTGGTAGTTTCGAACTGCTGACCTTGCGGTTCACAGCCCGATTCGTATAGTTCAGCTTTACTTGTCCGGAATACAGATTGAATAAGTAAAATAATAGTATACAACCTTGCCATACACCTTTTCTAATTCTAAACTACTAAAAACTATAAAAGATTATAAAGGCAGAATTATCAGCATTACAAGGGTTCCAACAAACAAACACTGCCATTGTCTGCAGGGTTGGATGCTCTCGAAGGGATGTGTCCATGTTGTAGGTAAAGGGTCCACTATTGTGAACATCAAAGTCTTTCCGACTCACTCCATTTATGCTAGCGCGGCACTTTATGCAAGACTCATTCCCTTATCACGCCACTGTAATTATTTACCCATTTGTCTCTCCTACTAGAATTACATTTAGCAAGGCCCCTCTCATTAATTTTGTTAGGGCAGAGGTGTGGTGAAAATAGGCATTTAGCCCTAGGCAGAGCTCAGGAAAGCCATCCTTAGATAGGACGGTTCCTCCTGAAGAAAGCTCTGAGCTTTCCTGTAGTTTTTCTTCATTACATTCCTAAGTACATAGTGTGTGGTTATTTGATTAATGTTTGCATTTCCCTCTAGACTATATGCTTCTTCGAGCTGATCTCATGACAATTTTAAACACTACCTCATGTACTGGAGTCCTAGTATGGAACTGTGGGTTAATGAGCTGGATTGCAAGGTCGGTTTGAACTGTTCAGTCAGCCATTCAAGCTCACCAGCCGCTCCTTGGAAACCCTATACAGGGTCGCTATGAGTCAGAACCAACTCAATGGCACTTAACAACAATAACCACCTCATGTACTTACCAGTGCTTGGTAAAGAAAGGGTAATTAACAAATATTAGTTCAATGAATAACTGAATAACTTGGAGCTGAATCCCAGAGCTGGCCCATGTTAAATGTGTGAACTAAACAAGATTCAGTTGCATCTCAGTTTCCCTCTCAGTAAAATGGGGTTAAATGAAGAAAAGCATGTGAAAACACTTGCACACACATGGTAATTTGGAAATATTTGGGAATAGATGAGTGGATATATGAATTCATTCTATCATATATCTCAAGCAGGTATCATTTTAAATGTGTGTCTCTTTTATTGCTAAGCCAGAGAAAATATATCTCTTCACTAATTCCTGTAGAAAGTTCTGTATCACTGTAACCTGCTTGAGTGCTTAATAGGAGTCATGTGACCTGTTATAATACTACATAGACACAGAGAGGTCAATTTGGTTCAACAATTACCAGGAGCTATTCAGTGTCCGGCATGAAGCCAGAGCTTGGAGCAGAAATTAGCAATATATGCTCCTTGCCCCTGAGAAGTTTACATCCTGAGACAGACCTTTGCACATGTAATTTCGGTATGTTACTGAGAGGTTACTGACTTCTACACAACATACACTGAGCCAAGCCTTGAAGGGATGTGGCTGTGGAGGCTAGCGCAATGAACCCAATCTGCAAGTTCATGGCCCCCAAAAGAGGTATTTCTCAAACATTATTGTTCATATGAATCACCTGGAGATCTTGCTAAAAGATGGATTCTGAGGACCTGTATTTCTAACCAGATTTCAGGGGATACAGATGCTGCTGGTCTGTAGATCATGCTTTGAGTAGCATGGGTCAAGGCTAACAGAATACCGTGAGCAAAGACAGAGATGTGAAAACAGGTATCATAGATGTCATCTTTATAGATTGTTGTTGTTGCTAAGTGCTATTGAGTCAGTTCTGACTCATAGTGACCCTGTATAGGGTTTCTGAGGAGTGGCTGGTGAGCTTGAATGGCTGACTTAGTGGTTCAAACCAACCTTGTAGGCCAGTGCACTAACCTACAGCACCACACCAGGACCCCCTTTTGTACATGAGCCGTATGAAACTAATAGATGTGAAGGAACTTGCCAATAAATGGCAGAAGCAAGACCACAGCTTTGTGACTCCAAAGACCATTTTTTTCTTTCCATGCCCTCAGGCTGCCTATCACAATGGCGTTGTTGTTGTTGTTGTTAAGTGTAGTTGAGTCGATTCTGAACCATAGAAACCCTGTTTAGGGTTTCCAAGGAGCAACTGATGAGCTTGAACCACCGACCTTGCAATTCAAACAACTTTGCAGTCTGACTCATTAGTCAACAGAGCCACACCAGGATTCCATCACAGTGGCTTTGTTGTTGTTGTTGTTGTTGTTAAGTGCCATGGAGTCAGTTCCAACTCATAGTGACCCTGCATAGGGTTTCTGAGGCTGTAAATCTTTACCGGAGCAGAACGCCTCATCTTTCTCCCCTTGAACCACTGGTAGTTTTGAACTGCCGACCTTGAGGTTAGCAGCCCGATTCATAACCACTATGCTACCAGAGCTCCATCACAATGGCTTGGGTACTATGAAATATACCTCCTTCTTTCCCTATGTCCCCATGTAATTTGGTTAGTTGAGTCAGTTCCAACTGATGCCAACAACCCCATGTACAAGAGAAGGAAATGTTCCCTGGCTCCGTACCATCTTCATGATCACTCTATGCTTGAGTCTATTGCTGTAGCCATTGAGCATCTGAATGCCTTCCAACCTAGGGCTTCATCTTCCAGCGCTACACGGGCGATGCTCTGTTGGGATCCGTTGGCTGATTTCTGGAAGTATATTGCCTTTCTTTCTAATCTGCCTTAGTCTGCAAAATTATGACTCTGCTGGTGTTTGAAGTACTAGTGGCACAGCTATCAACATCATAGTAACACACAAGCCACCACAGTGTGACAAACTGACAGTCAGGTGGTGGCACATAGTATTAAGGCACTAATGGAAAAGGCAGGGTCTTGCTATAAGGAGAGCTGCATTCTGGTCTCTCCAGTTCTTCTGCTCATTTGCTATGTGACCTTTCAGGAAGTTGTTTTGTCTCTCTGGGCCTTCATTATCCCAGATTGGAAGTGAAAGTTTGGACTCTGCCCTTAAGAACGCTCCCTGGTTGTATTCTATGACCCAAAGGTATTTTTCCACTTAAAGGAAATTGTTGAGAAATTGCTGAGCTGAGTAAGTAAGGAATTACCAGAATGGGGCCTGCCTTGTTCAGCAGTGGATTTTGCCTAGCAGGCTGACCTCTGAGGACCAGGAAAAGCCATGAGCCATAGAGACTCACTCCCAGGTCTTGAAACCTAATGGAGTGTGCCT